TAAAGCCTTCAATTTCATATATACAAAGCAATTATGTATTTATGTATAGATATATATATATGTACTATATAACATGTGTATGTGCATATGTACTTTTATTTAATTTATACATACATACATACATATGTATTTATATGGTGAACAGGCACATAAACTGTTGCGCCATCATAAATGTTATTAATATTTAAATAAATATAAATGCTACAAAAATATTTAAATTTTAATGGTTTTTCATTGAAAATTTTATATTTCAGGAAAGTTTGTTGTAGTATTAAATTTTGCAATAAAAAAAATATTTCTAACTAAAAATAATTATGAATTTTTATATAAATAAGTTTTTTTAATAAATAATTTGTTTTTATTATAAGTTAAATTTTTCAATATAAATAAATTTTTAAAGTAAATATTTTTCTAGTACAAAAAAATATTTTTATATAAATACATTTTGTTGTATAAATAATTATTTTTAATACATATTTTTAAGATTGTATGTATTGTAAATAATTTTTTTATAACAATAAATTATTTTAATTAAAACATTTTTTATAGATTATTAAAATTATTACCAAAATTCATATTAAAAATTTATATTTTTTAATATAACTAACTAACTATAACAAAATAAATAATAAATTATTTTTAATAAATTTTTTTTATAAAATATTTTTATATAATAAAATCTTTAATAAAACCATTTTTTCAATAAACTATTTACCAAATTATATTAAAAAAAATTTTTTAAATAACTAAAATAATTTTCAAAAATAAAAATATATAATAATGTTTATTAAAAAAAATTTATTTTATAAAAATGATATTTTTTCATTAAATAATTTTCTTTATTTTTATTTTATTTATTTATGAAATACAATAATAATAATTATTATTATACAAAGTAAAAGGAGCATAGCTTCAGCTTACAGCTTTTTATATAAATATTTTTTTAATACAAATATTTTATTTTTAATATAATTAAATTTTATCAATAGAATAGTTAATTTTAATATTTTTTAATACATTAATTATTTTTTATCTAATACATTTCGTTTTATATATATATTTTTAATACATTTATTTAATTATATTTTTATCTATACACAATTTAATAAAATCCTAACATTATCGTAAAATATTATATAGGAATCAAGAGCAATGGTATATATAAAATTTTACCGTTTCGTAGTTCTAGTGTTAAATACAATTTTTATTCCATTCTATTTTTTACTTCCTCCATTTCCATTCCACTCGCATTTCGTTCAAAATTCCTTAATTCACCCACATTTTCATTTCGCATACATGCACACTACCCTAAAATCCGCCATGTAAATCGGCAAACCGCAATTGTTGAAATTCAAATCAGTAAACTTGCATTTTACCAGGCGACCAGAATAGTGCAGCAACTGTCCACACAATTTTATCAGCAACATTCCCACAAGTTAGCATAATTTAGGGTTACTTGTCATATTCACAATAACAGTGATTTGTGTCCGAGCTGAAATGTTTCATCACAGCACCACGGTACTACAAACATATACTTTGTTGGTAGGAACTCGCCGTTTATTTCTTAGTTATGCATCTATAAATAAGTGCATATGTATATATTTATATACTTACGCGGTTGCATTGTATAAAGATTTATTATACAATGACTGGTTGCCACGCTGTACATTTTATAAGAAACACACGTATTTTTTAAAAATTTATTAACTACTATGTTTATAGAATAATTATTTCATAATTTTATTATACTATAATTTATATTTTTACCAATTATGGTCGTCTTCATTCCATCTCCTGCAATGCTAGAAACACAGCTCTCTTACCTGCACACGCGAACACACTCACGCACTCACCTGGTCGTTCGGTCTGCCTCAGCGAAATCTTTTATTTCAAAGTCAGTAAACTTGCATTTACCGGCAAACAGAAGCGCCCAGGCGGTGTTTGTTTTGCTACAATTATAACAAACGCTGTGCCTCACCAGTCTTGCAGGTCATAGGTGCCATTTTGTTGGCACGTGACGGCCCCAAACAACATACATGCGCCTTCGCGACATCAACTGTGCACTTCCACTGAGAATAATTCTTAGGTTTGTTCGCCTGCGGAGCTAAAGGTTTACTCTTTGAACACCCTGTGGACAGCCATCTGTTATTTAGCAGTCACTTTGTGATCTATCTTGTTTTGTTTTTCACCTTCAATGTAGCCACACAGCCAGTTCCTCGAACAAGCTGCATCACCATTTTTGCAAAGGGAGGAAACCGTCTAATTGATAATATTTCATCCAGCTGACCGGATTATATAAACGACGTGATATTCCCGCATTTGTTGGTCTAGTCTTGTTATATTGCCTACTACATATTCGTTGGTATTTTTTACGTGTCAATTAGTACTATTTCGACATCACCGCTATAGGGTGCTCCGAGGACGTGCGAATTACGCTATTGGCAGCCACAATACTGCCATTGTGCCACGTATCCCTGATCCGCTCGTGATCTCCACTTCCGTCACATGCTTAATCACTGCGGACACTTACATATCTAGCTCTCTCTATAATCCGAACCCACAACACCCGCAGATCCACGCTGACCGATCCGGCTCGTAAGCAACCAATCAACACTTCACGCCAGGCCGCCACCATAGCAGACGAGCGAGACTGATGCCATGATTCAAGGCGTGTGGCCGAATCATGCCTTTAAAGTTGAAAATATATTTGATATGCTTACGTAAGGAGCTTACTTAAATATAAAAAATCGAACTGCGCATCTCTTCCATAAGGCAACGAAACCTATGCAAAAACTAGGCTAAAACAATTAATTATATTACTATAAATTAAGAAATTACAATTATTATGAAAAATTTAATAAAATGGAATTTTCAGTGTTCGTAAACGCGGTTGCTCAAGCTCTATTACAGAGAACGTATCATAGAGAAGGTAGAAGTTGTTCTAAGTTCTCTGGTAGCACATCCTATTCAGCTGCAAAAGCTTTTGGCAAGTCATCACACTTGTATGAGGTCTCGGATTATCCTAATGGAACACTACACCTTTCTATTGAACTAATTATATGCTTCTTCTGTTTGAGTGCATCACTCAATTTGTCCAGCTGATCACATACACTTCAGAATTAATCGTGGTATTGTCACGCAAAAGCTCAACATAACCGAACCCTTTGAAATCCCAACAACAAGACAACACAACCTTATTTGGTGACGATCGGGCCTTCGAATTTGTTTTGAGCTGGTTCATCCTTTTAGATCATGATCTTGTATACTTATATATATTATTGTAAACAAACCACTTTTCGTCGCCAGATACAATGCACTTTAAAAATAGATTACTACTTCGACGTTTGATAAGCATTACTGTCGTTAATGCGACGAAGCAAATTTCATCTGTAAGGACATGAGGAACCCATATGCCCAGCTTCGAATTATCCGCCACGTTTCATGTGCTTGTGAACGGTCGCGTTAAACACAATTTATTATTTCAGCAATCTCTCGAGCTGTTATTCGATGATTTGCATCGATCAACGACTTTACTTTATCCGTTTCGGCTTCAAGAATCCTTCCAGGACGTAGTGCGTCCTCAAGATCGAATTTGCCGAAAAGAAATTTTGCAAACCAATTTGGCATTATCGTTCGCACGTTTTCTCAAAGCCTTACTATAACAGCTGTTCAAATATATAACGGTAAAGCGTTTAAGTGCGAAGTTGGCTGCGAAAAGTTCAATAAGATCAGCTGTTGGCATCAAACGCATTACTTAGTAAACGACCCTTAGTATTTTATGCAAAATACAACTTTTTCAATTCGAAGCATCTTTACATTTTCTGC